CTGGCAGCGTTGCTTTTCCTCGTTGTTTGTTTTTACGGTGAAGGTCAGTTCCCCCCCTGCACCACAGTGACTAAATGTAGGGGGAAGAGCCGGGCTGGCCCTGGGTGCAAGCAGCTATTTCAGGGAAAGTGGCCTTTGCCCTCCCGTCCCTAGCCAGAACGTGACAGCATGTGTCAATGCCAGCAGGGCACGGTGGGGAGGCAGGCTGACCTCCCCAAAACCCGCTTAGGCCCAGGGACCCTGCTCCTTCCCACAGCTCTGCTCCCACCCCATTTTCATAGCATCATGGAATCATAGAATCGCTTTGGTTGGAAAAGCCCTTTGAGATCATCGAGTCCAACCGTTCCCCTACCCCTGCCATCCCACCCCCAAACCCTGGCCCTCAGCACCTCATCCATCCTTCTTTTAAATCCCCCCAGGGATGGGGACTCGACCCCTTCCCTGGGCAGCCCCTTCCAGTGCCTGACAGCCCTTTCGGGGAAGAAGTTTTTCCTAATGTCCAACCTCACCCTGCCCTGGTGCAGCTTCAGACCATTCCCCCTCGTCCTATCGCCCGTTACCAGGGAGAAGAGGCCGCCCCCCCCTCGCTACAGCCTCCTCTCAGGCAGTGGTAGAGGGCTATTTTCCCCATTCCTCGCGCCCTGACTGCTGGGAAAGCGAGTCCAAAGCTACAACCCCCCTGCCCTGACAGCCTGCATGGGAGGTCTGCGCCCCAGGCAGTGGCCTCAAGGAGCCTTGTAGCCCCCAGAGCAGACAGGGCAGCGAGACCACCGGGGCTGGAATGGGGCCGGACCAGGAGTGGTGCTTGGCAAAGAGCTGTTCCTGGGAGCTCTTGTGGGAGAAGAGCCAGCTCCAAGGGAGCATGTGCCCCACCTTGTCCGTGCGCAGCTCCCCAGGTGACCCCAGGCACATCTTCGGGAGCGGGGCATGTGCATGATCACCCTGCCCCAGTGCTCAGCTGCTCCCAGCTCCTGGCAGATTCACAGAATCACAGAAAATCCCAGAATGGCAGGGGTTGGAAGGGACCTCGGGAGCTCACCCAGTGCCACCCCCCTGCCCAAGCAGGCTCACCCAGAGCAGGGGGCACAGGACAGCGGCCAGGCGGGGGTTGAAGATCTCCAGAGAAGGAGACTCCACAGCCCCCCTGGGCAGCCTGGGCCAGGGCTCGGGCACCCTCCAAGTCAACAAGTTCTTCCTCACATTCAACTGGAACCTCTTCTGCTTCAGGTTGTGCCCATGGCCCCTTGTCCTGGCGCTGGGCACCACTGGGAAGAGTCTGGCTCTGTCCTCGTGACCCCCACCCTTGAGATA